ATAACATAGATTTCTGATTTCCCACTCTCTGTCAAATGTTGACATAACTCAACAAGTGTGGACGCTTCAGACGTTGAAACAATATCATGCTTGTAGTGAATCAACTCATACTCAAGTGAGACAATGTCTTGATCAGTGAAATCTGCAGGATAAAACTTTTTTGCAAGTTTACGGATATCTTCACTCTTAAATGAGTTGAAGGAGTTCTTGGGATCCAAAGCAAGACTAAGTTGAAGAAGTTCCATGGATGTATCATTAAAGCGTGTGCCTAACTCAGTCAAAGTAAAATCAATCGCTTCATTGAAGACATCAAAATGATAATGATGTTCTATTGTTGGTTGGAAACGAGAACGCCCAATCTCATATGAATCGCCCAAATTCGGAACATCAATATCATTTGAAGAGCAAAAACTCTTCACTTCTTTAAGAAATTTCTCCCAACCAAATGCTCTTAACTCTGCAAGGATAGTTTTAATAGTACCAACGAATGCAATAGCACTCAAAATATCAAGAGTTTTTTTGAAGAACCTGGCAAAGAGCATCAGTTATTCTCAGAAGTTTATGCATCAAGTGTAAGACAAACACAAATTCAAAGCTTGCCATTTTTCTATAGGTCCCAAGAACTTCACCTTTAGCTTTTCCATTTGGAGAGTTCTCAACCAAATGTTCAAACACTTTGCAAGTTGCGGCATACATGTTTATCAAACTCTTCACGGAGCTATAGTGAGAACCCCAACGAGTAGATCCGGATCGTTGCAAACTACCAACTTGATTTGCACCAAGTCCCAACTCGCGTTCCCCGGTTGCTAATAACTTCTCAATTTCACTTCTTTGAGACACGTGCAACTCCGATACCTGCTTTGGTGAAGAAGTGATAATATTAACAATATTATCCAAATGAGAGAAGAATTCCAAAATTAAGCTAACATCCTTAGCCGCAGAAACCAACGCAAGTTGTAAGCGATGTGCAAAATAATGAATGTAATATGCATAAGGAAAATTTCTACGAAATAATGTGAACCTCGCATATTACTCCCACCATTATAACCTTGGCTTCTCATTTTTGAAAGTTGGAAGTCATGATGACCAAGCACATCACATATTTTACCTTTCAAGGTAGTTGCTACAGTGTCACTAACACTTCTGATGGCAAAGAACCGCTTTGTAAGAATTCCCCTGCTGTTCACAAACCGTATAATAATCGCCATCTGCTCCTGTTTAGATATATCTTGTGCTTCATCAACAAGAATGCATAAACAACTATTTGCAATTTCTTCACGAACCATTTGACGAACTCTATTTGCCATTATATTCAAGAATTCCCCTGCTCTTCACAAACCGTATGACTAACTTCAAGTACAACTTCATGAACTAACTTCAAGTACAACTTCATGTACTTGAGAATGCTCCTAAAAATGCTCAGTACATTGCTCCCGACATTCAAAAAGAGATCTTGAATATAATGGCAAATAGAGTTCGTCAAATGGTTCGTGAAGAAATTGCAAATAGTTGTTTCTGCATTCTTGTTGATGAAGCACAAGATATATCTAAACAGGAGCAGATGGCGATTATTATACGGTTTGTGAACAGCAGGGGAATTCTTACAGAGCGGTTCTTTGTCATCAGAAGTGTTAGTGACACTGTAGCAACTACCTTGAAAGGTAAAATATGTGATGTGCTTGGTCATCATGACCTCCAACTTTCAAAAATGAGAGGCCAAGGTTATGATGGTGGGAGTAATATGCGAGGTTCACATTATTTCGTAGAAATTTTCCTTATGCATATTACATTCATTATTTTGCACATCGCTTACAACTTGCGTTGGTTTCTACGGCTAAGGATGTTAGCTTAATTTTGGAATTCTTCTCTCATTTGGATAATATTGTTAATATTATCACTTCTTCACCAAAGCAGGTATCGGAGTTGCACGTGTCTCAAAGAAGTGAAATTGAGAAGTTATGAGCAACCGGGGAACGCGAGTTGGGACTTGGTGCAAATCAAGTTGGTAGTTTGCAACGATCCGGATCTACTCGTTGGGGTTCTCACTATAGCTCCGTGAAGAGTTTGATAAACATGTATGCCGCAACTTGCAAAGTGTTTGAACATTTGGTTGAGAACTCTCCAAATGGAAGATCTAAAGGTGAAGTTCTTGGGACCTATAGAAAAATGGCAAGCTTTGAATTTGTGTTTGTCTTACACTTGATGCATAAACTTCTGAGAATAACTGATGCTCTTTGCCAGGTTCTTCAAAAAAACTCTTGATATTTTGAGTGCTATTACATTCGGTTGTACTATTAAAACTATCCTTGCAGAGTTAAGAGCATCTGGTTGGGAGAAATTTCTTAAAGAAGTGAAGAGTTTTTGCTCTTCAAATGATATTGATGTTCCAAATTTGGGCGATCCATATGAGATTGGGCGTTCTCGTTTCCAACCAACAATAGAACATAATTATCATTTTGATGTCTTCAATGAAGCGATTGATTTTACTTTGACTGAGTTAGGCACGCGCTTTAATGATACATCCATGGAACTTCTTCAACTTAGTCTTGCTTTGATCCCAAGAACTCCTTCAGCTCATTTAACAGTGAGGATATCCGTAAACTTGCAAAAAAGTTTTATCCTGCTGATTTCACTGATCAAGACATTGTCTCACTTGAGTATGAGTTGATTCACTACAAGCATGATATTGTTTCAACATCTGAAGCGTCCACACTTGTTGAGTTATGTCAACATTTGACGGAGAGTGGGAAATCAGAAATCTATGTTATGTTGACGAGACTAATTCGTCTAGTTTTGACCCTACATGTTTCTACTGCTACTACAGAAAGAGCATTTTCTGCAATGAAGCATGTGAAGACGGCACTTCGTAATAAAATGGGAGACGATTTTCTTGAAGATTGAGTGATGATCTACATTGAACGAGACTATGTCAATAATATAAATGTAGATTCTATTATTGATGAATTTTATACTTTGAAGTCGCGTAGGGCACAACTTAAATGATGTTTTAATGAATTTGTAAGTGTTGACGACTTGACTTATTATTATGTATGTGTATTTCAATTTTTTCCCAACCCACCCCATTGTGACTTTCTGGATCCGCCCCTGATTTAGCGTCATTGTTTAAATGACTATTGCACGATTAGTTTTGGTCCATCATATCCTTTATGTGTGTTACAAGACTAGCTAGGTCTTGGGGATGATTTTAGTTTGGCTTGTTACTTCCCTAACCAACTCCCCAACTATAGCTTTATCGACTATTTCTTCATCTAGAGAGACCATTGATTGACCTTTCATTATATCAATTATCTTCTAGTTTGTTCATATACTTGACGAAGTACTCGTGCAATGCACGGGGTATATCTAGAATTGGATAATAACTTATTTAAAATTATCTTTTTTATCATGGTACATTATGTGTTAGTTTTGACAAATAAAAAAATTAGAGTTTATATGTTGTAACTTTTATTATATACATAGTCGTAGTAGTAAGAAAATTTGAACCGTATTAAAAAAATGAAAGGAAAATTAAAATAAATGATAATGTGTAACTATAAGTTCTACGTGAAAAATCAATGAGCTCTAGGTCTCATTAAAATTTATAAGATAGAGCAACAATCATATATGTTGACAATGAAAAAAAGTTTCACAAATTTTGAAAAACTTCTATATATACCACATTATTCGTGGTGTTGATTTTCCTTTTGTCAAACTTCATTTTGGAGCATGATTTTTTTCATTGTGTGCAACATCAAATAAATTGTAAGGACCAACATATTAGTTGATTTTTTGTTCTTTTAAACAATTCCCTGAGCTAAATAGTTTTAAAAACTTATACTAGAGTAATTTATACTTAGGCTACCCATGTTAAGTTTCAAAGATGAAGAACAAAATATTACAAATTTTTAATATTTTTGTAAATGATACTCCCTACGTCCCTTAAAACTTTGTCATCTTTCCTTTTCCGGACGTCCCAAAAAACTTTGCAACTTTCCCTTTTAATCAACTATTTTGTGGTTTTTGTTATTTCTCGCTCCTCTGCACAAACCTCAACCACACAGTTTTTACTTTATTATTCTCCATACCGGTCAACTTTGGCAAAGTTTTAAGGGACGGAGGGAGTATAAATTTAAAATTAAGGTTTTAAGAAACAATTTTTTTTTTACATTTCAATCACGTGTATCTTAAAGACCCTATTGATAACACAAAATTGTCGGAATAACGGGCGTTGGTGAAATTTTCATTGAAACGACTAAACTGGCAAAGTCTGTCAAGTTATAAAAAACTACTTAAAATACTTTATTAAGAAAATAAAAATAAACATTACATGGAAGCATATCTAAAGTAGTGATATTCAGAAAATTGTATAAAAATGTAACTGCTATCTTATCAAATGAGATAGGAAAGCAACGTCAACATTACCTATTTTACTTTTACAGTTTTACTACGGAGTAGTAATTAACAGCGTCAACTTGAAAGCTATATATTTGGTGTGTTAAAATTGACTGATAATTTTAATAGTCCGGTAAAGTTACAAAAAGATTAAGATGCCGTTTGGTAATATTGTTTTTCGGTTTATCAGCCAACTTTTTCACCAAACACGTAACTTTTGTTTTCGCGCGCTGAAATGTGTAATAATAACAAAAAATAAGGTTGGAGTTAATTTTTTGGTTGTATTGAATGAAGTTACTATAGATGACTATTTTAGCTATTTTTACATATATATTTCTTTGTTTATTAATAAAATACTCCGTATATTTTTTTTTTTGGCAAAGTGTAGTTTATCTTATAGTTTATCGATGATTATAACAATTTACTAAGGTTGATCATATGAAAATTAAATTTACTTTATTCTTCTTTCTGTCATTTTCAAAGACTTGTTGAAAGTAATATTGGACTATTGGTGATGAATGTGACTATGACAATCGCTGCCTCTAAAATTATGTTTGATGTACATCTTTACCCATTATATAATACATTCCAATTTCCAAGGCACCCAACAAAGTGAAAAAACAAGGTATCATTTCTCATAACTATTAGAAAGGAAAAATGTTCATTTTTTGCCACTTGAAACAAGGGGGAAAAAGTACACATTTTTGATCTTCTAGTAATAAGTTGATAAAAGTTCAGATCGAGTAATTGGAAACAAAAGTGATGGTTCAGGGCATGTCAGTTCAATATGTTGGGGATTTACATACTTGCCAATATCTGAGCAAATATTGAGCATCATAAATTTTATGCGAGTATATAAACAGTACAGGACTACAGGTGGAATTGTGGAAAGAAATCTTGAGAGAAGTGTTGTGAAGGTCCGCGCGACTCATCAAGCCGCTTGAGATTTCAGGCGCTTGATAAACTGAAGGATTGGCTCTTTGACCTGCAAATACAGAGTGTGTGAACAAATGAGTTATCAACTAGATAGCAGTCTGAAGGCAGTAAAGGTCCTATAGAAGGAAAGAAATTTTGTACGAAAACAAAAAGATAGGCTCCACTCCATTATTTTGTCATGGAAATGTGCTCCAACTTCATGGAAAAGAAGAGAAAAAGGTCAAATAAGGTCGTATAATCATTAAAGTGTCATATAAATATGTCTACTTATGAAAAGCAATCGAATGAATTCTAACGACCCGTTGACAACCTCTTAATTCCGATTTTAGTTTGTGTCGTTATTTTTGCCATGTATTTCAACCAATCTTAGCTAAATATTCTGTCTGCCTTATAATTTATTCTAAAAAGATAGTCAGACGTACGCTAAAATCGGGATTAGAAGGTTGTCAATAGGTCGTTAAGACTCATCCGATGGTTTTTTATAAGTAGACATTAATATGACTATTTCATGATAATTACAACGTTTCATCTTCTTTTTGTATTTTGCAAGGTAAACCTAGGATAGAAAACAGCTAAACTTTACACTTTTTTCACTTTTTTAGACTCAGTTTTTTAAAAACAAATGTATTCAAGTGATGAAATTATGATCTCACCACTAAAACATTTGTTACATCTCTCAATTTTCACCCCAATTTTACTTTTTTTTTTACATCAAAATGATTGACTTTTTTAATTATAATCATTTGTAAAAAGAAAATTGGAAAAATATTGATGCATAATAATAAAAATAAGGTTTTAATTCAAAAGAACTTTAATGAATGAATATTATGATCTCACCACTAAAACATTTGTTACATCTCTCAATTTTCACCCCAATTTTACTTTTTTTTTACATCAAAATGATTGACTTTTTTAATTATAATCATTTGTAAAAAGAAAATTGGAAAAATATTGACGCATAATAATAAAAATAAGGTTTTAATTCAAAAGAACTTTAATGAATGAATATATTGACGGTTCTGGGTTGCGGTAAAAATGGAATTGACTGGATGAATAAGTATAGATTGGTGGGAAATTGAATTTATTGACGGTTGCGGTTAGCCTGACAAGTAGAAGCATATTTACCGTGCTTGCTTTCCTAGAACGTTTGCCCTGGCTGGACCGGCTGCAGATAATATTGTCAGACTCGTCACAGTTGTTGATGGAGTCTTTGTTATTAGATCTTCCGTTTTCATCATGCCCAGGCACAAAACTCTCTCTAGAAGCCACTGGCTGTAGAGTAATCATCACTCATCAGTGCGAAAAAAAAAAGTGAGCAACACATAGAGGCAGTGAAATAATTTGACAAACCTCAACCCTGCTTGTAGGAGTGCTACCAAGATCCTTCCTCTTAGACGCGGTTTGATCGGTCCTAATGGACTCATTCTGGTATGCATCAGATCTTCCCTTTGTTCTGGTGACATCTGACCCAATTGAGTGGAGCCCACCGCATGTGGACAAGTCCTTAAGGTTGTTAACTGTGCAAATAATGTACTATGGTGTTAGTGGGTTATGAAATGATATGGCTGAATTCCTAAAACTCAACTTTTAATTTTTTTTACCTGATTCATGGTTTTCCACTTCCTAAGAATAAACATCAATTAAAAGCATCATCAAATCACGAGAGAAAATTATAATATCAAAAAAGGGGAGAAAGTGGCCTATGAGTGATAGTTAATTACCATAAAATCCTTTTCTAAAGCTTTCTTTACTTCACTAAGCTTCTTTTCAGTCAGATCTGAGTGGATCACACGCTTCCCTGAATGGGGGAAGGGGGGTACAATATGAAGAATGAAAATATACCCTTCCTCAAAAAGACACTGCAAAATGTAATTCCACTATTCGTACCTAATCTGCGATTGCTTTTAGCTTCAATAAAGCCATCTTGGGTCATCTTATCTATTAATTTGCGAACTGTAGGTTGACTGGCTTGCCCTTCAAGTTTACTCTGAAGCTTTGAAACAGATACATAGTTCATGGGGAGTGCATGGTATAAAGCCTGAAATTAAAATGCCACACAATCAACTAAAAAATCAGTGGAAAAAATGTTGAAGTGTTGTACGAATGAAATTCCTGGGATGTGTAGAAATTAGAACTGCTTGAAATTGAAAATACACTAGACAAAATTGCCGGCTCAGATTTGAATGAGAAAAAATAGCACCTTCATATACATGTAATCTTGATTACTGCCCTTTTTTGCACTGTTGCCTTTTGGCCCAAACTGACAGTCCATTTCTTCTTTCACGGCATCAAACTCATAGTCGAATTTCTGCAGTTCAGAATTTGTCCCAAACAAAATGTTTGATTATTAAGGAGTGCTAGTATATCAGAGATAGATTGAGTCTGGAACAGATAAGAAAATACATTCTGCTTGTTAATGGTAAAAGTATCTGTATCAGTCTTTGACACAATGCCTTCCGTGACAAGCTTTGCCATAAGTTCTGAAAAAAGCATAAACGCATCAAGTATCGAACTCAAATTGATAAAGAAGGTTCCTTTATCATTATTGTAAAGCTTAACCAGGATGTCCTTCAGGTACCTTCTATCAAAGCCTGCAAATAATTGAAAAGGTTAATGAAAAGTAAGCAGGTTGCAGACTTGCATTAGATTGACTGTAAATAATAAAATAGGAACTTTCCAGTAATAAATATACATAAAAAGTATATTAGAGTATTTACCACTGAAATGTCAGGAAAACTGGAGAAAACATCAGTTAGTTCAACTTTGTCAAGGTGGTGAGCACTGATCCAATCCCTGACCCGCCCAATTTGGTGCTCATCCTCTGCTGGGTCCTGTGTATCATCTGAACATCCTAAAAAGCACACCAAAATTTTTATTGCTCATCTTTTTCAAAGTGGGAATCCTTGATGATCTGTCACATGGTTTTCATATAGAAAAAAAATTACCTTCATCAAGCAGAGGAGTATTTTGTTCCTTCTCTCCTTTCTCTGATCATAAAAAAGAAGTGTGTTACGTGGAGTGATGCAAGACAGAATATTTTGAAAAATAAAAAGTATTTTCTGGAGAGCCAAGTTCAGGGATCAGATATATGTTACCTCTAGGGGCAACTACATATTCATCATCATCAGATTGACTGGACTGAAATACATAATTAAATATGAGAATGCTTTAGCACATCAAGAAAATCATATGTCAATAATAAATCAGGTTTTAAATTGATACGATAACTCTATTGAGAAGAATTTAACCTCACTATCAATGTCGCTATCATCTCTCTGGGCAGAGTCAGCAGCTAAGCTCACATTATCACTATGATTATCATCATTATCATCTTCACAGGGGTCAAGAACACTCTTCACCTGTCCAAATAACCGTTATAAGGAAAAAAACATTTAACATCAAATGCTCCTCAAATTACCTCTGTAGTGCAACCTAACCTTTACCTTGAGAGCAAGTACAAAATGTTTACTGTTCACATTTCCAACGTCCATTTTGAGAGGTCTTTTAGTCCATGGATTAAGAGCTTCCTCTTCTTTATAGCCTCTGAAGAAAGGGGGCTCGTAATCAGCGGGCTGCATTAGCATCAAATTATGTCGTCAATACCATATAGTGACATTGTGGGATGTAAGATGTATGAGTAAGCTAATCATGCTTTCTGGTACGACACATTGAACATAATTAATCAACTCTTTACTCTTTAGTAACAGAATTTTAAAGTGCAAGTTTCTGAATGCAAAAGCAGAAAAGTAAAAACAAAAACTCACTCAAAGAGCTGTGAATTGCAGGACCATATCCCCATATACATTAAAAACATTGATTTATTACAAAATCTAAAAATAAAATTACACATTCCAGAGAGTGTGCTCTCTGCAGCCCATAATAGATGATGCAGTAAATAGTAATGGTATGGGAAGGCAATTCAGGCACTTGTTAAGTTACATTACAGGTTTTATGAACAATCAGAACTTACCAAATCTTTCATGATGAAACTTCAATATAAAGATTTAATAGGCTAGTATTAACTATCAATATTAAACCCATTAAAATATGACACATACCGTGATATCGTCATAGTAAAGGAGCTTCATCAATATAGTTCTCTGAGATATAAAAGATGAAAAGAGGAAACGTGTATCAAGTTTAGGGTCAAAAGTTAAAAAGTAAGTACATAGTTTTAGAAGCTAACACAGTACACACCTCTTCTGGCATTTGATCCAACGTTCTCATCAGTTGAACCAGGGTACGAACCATCTTACAAGCAGAATTCCTAAGATACCAACAATTAGAATGAGATAAGCACGAGATCAACACATAAACAAGAACAAATGATAAATACATACATATACACATATATAGATGTGTGTATATATAACTACCTCATCTGGTTGGTGGTTATCTCAGCATCAGAGTTACATTTAAACGTCCCTCGCTTCTTTGTTCCAGAACGATTCACATTCATCATAACTTCTTCGCTATCAGAACTTGAGTAGCTGAAGGAGACTGCAGAAATAAATGTTAGATTAAATAGTGGTCAGACCAGTAAAATCTTTTCAAGAAATTTTTTTAGCATCTTGTTAATGTTCCGGAATCCATTCATGACATATACCAACCATAAAACAAATTCAGACCCTGAAAATTCCATCAAAGCAATAAACTCTAAAAGCCCTGCCGCCCTGGTATCTGGTAACTCTTTCTTTTCATAAACTCAAACCGACCTCTTTCATATCTAAAATCATGTGATAGTTCCATCCAATATTCAAAATCTATTTTAACTCTTTTACAACAAATAATAATATCTTGAAATCTTACAAGCATATTCCTCAATCATGGGCCCGTCTATAGCTTCACATACTGAGAACAATAGTGTTCTCAGGTATTTCTTCTGCAATGCATCGTAAACTCCTACAAACATAAACCAACACCATGAATAATAAGACAAAGAAGCCAACCCCATAAATGAGAGTATTACAGATAAACTGGGATAAACCATGCCTTTCTCCATCCAGTCAAGCAGTCTGCGTGACTCAGCATCCATTGGCATGAGCTTCTTAATCTTCATTTCTGTTTCAAATGATGCAAAAAAGGACTCAGAAACCAATGCCATTCTGCTAATTTATCAATGTTGTTCAACAACTTACCCAATGCTGGAACAGACTTATCACTGAAATACTTCTCAGGAAAAAGGCCACGGATGTAGCTGATATTAAATATTGCAATCCTCAGCAGATTCCTTGTCTATTGTACAAAATATTGCAGAAAATACTCAGCGGGGGAGTTCTCATGTAAATTATAATGCATGGCACTTATCAGAGACTGAGACAGACATCAATGATATAGATTCAACTTTCTCAAAGAATTAAAACAAGTGTATGAAGCTCACTCCTCAAAATCTTCAGGAAGCCATCAATATCCCTTCAACTAAAATCATTTTTTACTTTCAACCACTACATATAACTCATCAATGCTATTGGTGAATTCCAACAACAAACAGAGTACACTTCTCTTACAGCAACAAGCCAACATCAGTGCAAATGCAACAAACACTTTGCAATGAACAACCAGAAAAATATTCGGAGCCTATCACAGAACTAGCAGAATGTGAATACCTTTGAAATTTCAATCAAAACGAAGTGGAGATGAATATCATTTAAGACCTCGGTTTATATTAAACAATCATTCACAAGCCTACCCAGATCATTCGAAACAATTTAGTAAGTATACATATGCAAGATGTATACTCAGCATTTTCAGAGTTTTTGAACACATAGGAGTACAGACTGCATAGCATTTTCAGAGTTCTGAGTGATCATGCTTACAGCAACAAGCCAGCATCCGCTCAAATACAACAAACACTTTACAATGAACAACCAGAAAAATATTCGGAGCCTATCACAGAACTAGCAGAATGTGAATACCTTGAAATTTCAATCAAAACGAAGTGGAGATGAATATCATTTAAGACCTCAGTTCATATTAAACAATCATTCATAAGCCTACCCAGATCATTTGAAACAATTTAGTAAGTATACATATGCAAGATGTATACTCAGCATTTTCAGAGTTTTTGAACACATAGAACTATAGAAGTACAGACTGCATAGCATTTTCAGAGTTCTGAGTGATCATGCTTACAGCAACAAGCCAGCATCCGCTCAAATACAACAAACACTTTGCAATGAACAACCAGAAAAAAATCTGGAGCCTATTCACAAAACTAGCAGAACGTAAATACCTTTGAAATTTCAATCGAAACGAAGTGGAGATAAATATCTCTAAGACCTCAGTTCACATAAAAACAGTCATTCACAAGCCTACCCAGATTATTCGAAACAACTTAGTAAGTATATATATGCGAGATGAGAGTGCTTACACGATTGGTAATAAGCAAATGCACTCAGCCATAGAGATTAATGAAATGTTAGATCCGAAATAATGATATACCACGCAATGATAATCCAAGAGGATGTATAAACGAGGTGATTAAAAAACAGTCTAAAATAAGCTAGTCCAGTTCACTTCCATGCGATGCTCTACTTCTATGTCAAAAACTGATAAAATGTGGTGCTGAAATTGAAAAGCAGAATGAGATTTACGAGAAGCAGCGAGTCCTGCTCTGTTATTTCAGCTTCCTTCACCTTCTGCGAAACCACCTGAACGATTTGAGCGAGCCGAAATCCCAAATAAGATAGCTGGAAAAAAGATAACAATAAAGCTATCCATGGATGAATTTCGGATTTCTCACCATTTTCAGAGAACTTTCCAGAGAGAACGAAACAGTTAGAGTACTCAAAGAGAGAGAAGAGAGAGAAATTTTGAACGGAATTTGAAATGAAATCTCTCGCTGACAGCTGAAGTGCGAAACTAACTGGCGAGCTGCTTTATAAAGGAGTGCAAAATGCACCATGCCTCCCTCATCCGTGCCAGTTTGCTACCAAAATATCGCGCGCAAATGATACTCCATTAGTTTACTCTTCCTTTTGCTTTTAAATTTAGAAATTTTCAGATATAGGAGTAAATATAAACATAATTGCACAAATAGGAGTAAAACTTAAAACTTTCTTCAATAAGAGTAAACATTAATTTTGTACCCTTAATATCCCTAACTTAGTTAATTTTAAAATATCACTTATTTGAACCTATTAAAAAAATATAAGTTCATTCATTGGAAACGATACATTTATGCAGGTCATTTAATTTCAAAAATAATCTAAGTTCATCCCAACAATATTAAAATATTAAATATTAAAAAAATTATTTTTGTGAAAATAAAAAACTTTAAAAATAAATAAAAAATAGATAAACTGTATTAAAAAATATAAGAAAATTATGCAGGCCTTTCCCGCAGCCTCGTTCATCACCCACCAATGTCACCTCTGACCGGCGAAAAAAATGTCATTTTATGTAAAAACTGCCATTTTCTTTAAAAAATGTCATAAAGATGGCAGTCTTACTCTTTGCAAATGCCAAATTTTCTCAAAATCTGCCATCTTGATGGCATTTCGGGAAAATGTTGGCTTTTTTTCCGATGATCGGAGCTGGTGGTGCTGGGAGGTTGTTGAGGCGACATCAGACGCCTACATTTTTATATATATATTTTTTTCATTTTTAATTTTTTTTCATATTTATTTATTTATTTTATTTTATTATTTTTTATTTTAATAATTTTTTATTTTATTTAATACGGAGTATATTTTATTTGATATTGTTTTGTGTTTTTTACAATTTTATTATAAATTAATTAATGTTAGGGAGTATTTATTTTATGTTTTAATTATTAATGAAAGTTGTTGGGTCTTGGGTAGGGTTATACTTGTCAAACACTAAAGTTACTCCTATTCAAAACATGGTACTCCTATTTTTGCATTTTGCCTATGTTTTACTCCTAATTGAGGAATTCTCTCTTTTAAATTTAATTCAAAACCCGTTTGCTTTCACATTTAGGATTTACGGGCAATGTTCCAAAAGGCGTAAGGCGTGACGAGGCGGCACGACCAAGCCAAGTCTTTGGAGCCTAGGCGGGGCTTAGGCGGGGTTGAGGCGTGAAAAGGCGTTTTGATTTTTTAGGGAAATTTTCACAAATAACCTAAAATTGAAAATAATTTCATTTTTTACCATCTTAGATTCATATTTCAAAAATAAGCTAAGTAGTTTGCTATTTTCAAAAAGGTCCATATATAAATATACCCAATTTAGAAACTATCATTGTCCCCGGCGGTTAGCAAGTCGTCGTCCCCAGCGCGCTAAATTCGGAACCGATCACGTTTTTCTAAGCTGCGAAGAAATCCAACGATCTCAGCTCTTCTTACCAGGTAATTACAAAGTTCAATTAGTCATCTCCAATTCTACCGATAAAACAAGGTCCGATTAATAACTATATGATCATAAATTATGAAGCTAGAATTCGTTTAGTGATTCATCGGTTAGTACGATTTGTTTCTTGTTTTGAATAATTGTAAGTTTTGTTTCTGATGAATGATTTCTTCTGTTGTTTACAAAATAAACTGATGAATTCAATAAATGTTGTTTTTGTTTGTGGACATTGCAATACTCTGTACACTTATTTGTAGTTCATTAAGAACGAACGATGTTTATTATTAATAATAAAAGGAAACATGGAAACAATTCCTATTTTTGTTCATCACGATGGTCATTGGAATGAAGGAATGAAGTATGTGAACTTCAATGTGTTTGGAATTACTTTAGCTACAAACAGTTCTTATCCTGAGTTGATTGCAAAGATAGGAGACAGGATTGGAATAGAAAGACAATCATCTACATTGATAATTCAATACAAAGTCAGAGAGAATTATCCACCATTGATGATAGAAGATAACTCAGCTCTATTGTTTTATTTACACCTTAAGAAACAAGAGATAGATGTGACCAAATTCCCTCTCTGCATAAATCTTGTTGATGTACATGAGGAAACAACTTGCAACATGTTTCATGGGGGATATCAACAAGAAAAAACAAGCAGCCTGCAAGCAATGACAATGTATGAAGATAGCTCAAAAATTAGTGAAGAGTTGGACATTAATGGTTTTATATTAGCTTGGGCAAATAAAACAACTGAAGCACTACTACAACAAAAACGTGTGGAGTTAACATCAACAAATTGCGTTAACAGTGACGTTCATCCTGAAGGACTGATTTTGTAACGCCTTAAAAATTCGGTCTAATTGTTAAGCTACTAAGGAATAAATTTTAGATTTTAGTATTCCACCACAAATTAAACATTATTGTTCTTTAATACTCCGTAATAAAATTTACAATTTATAGTTAGTTATTTTCTTTTTATAATAATAATAATAACAACAGCAACAACAATATAAACCTTACTCATGTCAGTTTCGTTTGACAAATTAATTGACTTTTTAACTCAAATTGTAGAAGGCTAGACCTATATCCTTATATTAGCCTAGAAACACATCGGTAGTGCCAAAATCGTTGTACCTACCCCCATTATAGTGCACTATTATATTCTTAGGAGACTAGAAAATAAATAAATAAAATTGAAAGTGACACTTGAAGCAATAATATGTAGTAACAAACGAAAATAATGGCTTGGAGACCATACAATCTCACACTACCCAAATAATGAACTCTACAATTAAAACCTTTGGATTGATGCATGGGTAGGAGGGAGCAAAATTCACATGCATTGCCACGTGAAGCCTTAGATGTGATAATAGAATAGTAGGGTCAAAAGCATCTTTTTTTTTATTGGTCAAGTAAGAGGTGAGGTTTGGGGGCTATTTGGATTTAAATAAGACTTGGCTCTCTTCTCCCTAGTACTACTCGACCTGGCCTTCAAATAGAGTAAAAAGACCCATCAAAATAAACTAGGCACAGAAGGAGAAGGGCGGCCATAGGAGGTTCTTCCGTCAACAAATTTTTCTATAAGGTTAGTACGTTTCTGCCCCATTCTATTTAATGGGTATTATAATGTTTTCGTTTTAGTATAAATTCCATCCCCGTTTCCTATTATGTTATGGGGATGATGAACATTATATGATTTTAGAAATGTTTTTTTTTGTTATGCTGGAAAAATATTTCTTAAAAATTATAGGAATTGTTGATTTATAGGAACAAAATTATATACGATAGTAATTACGTTTTCAATCAATGTGAACGTCAATTAAAACGGAGTTTAGCTGCGTATTTAGGAAGTAAAAATATTAAAATTTACTATTACAGAAAGTACAACAATTTTGTGAGAATTAGGTATACGGAGATAGTATGACCGATGATGTAATCTACCTTAAGCTATAGTGCCATATATACTACTTTAAGATAACTAGATATGGGTGATATAATAACATGCAATACTTATGGTCTGGAATGGTTACATATACGTGGGTGTTGATTGAAATGTAGAGTTTTCACATGGAAAATGACCTTAATGTGCATGCATTAACATATCTATGTATACGAGTGTTTAATATGCATGCACCATTTTTTTTTATTTACAAATTGATTTATGATAACCAATATTTGCCATGCATATACTTTAGGAGTGACTTACGTGTGTAATTAGGTAGTGATTACCATCTTTGAATTAGTAGTAATATTACAAAAGAAAAGAAAAAACAGAAACATGCGTAGGTATATGCTTTGACGGGCATATGTTTTCTAAGTGCCAGGTTATACTAGACTACATAAATATAAGTGGGTTCATTAAAAGATTATATACATAAGTATAACATGCATGCACTAATTAGTTAATATTTACAAAATGGTTAAATACATACTCCTGACATGCATGCATGCATTAATTTATTATTAGAGGTGCATACGTATTCATATGCATTAATGTTACTGGAGTACATAAAATGTACTTCTAATACACATGCATGCATGGTGTATTTATATGAGCACGTCACTTGTTATTTTTTTTAGCAGTTTATGTAAGCCTATATAAATATAGACATTACGGTTAAAAATGAGACACTGGTTAGGTTGTTGTTACTAACGTAAGTATGTATTAGATTCTTCTGCTTAAAATAGTACTGGTATATATAGGATTAACACTAATCATGAACTTAATCTACGTAAACTTTTATTATTATTACTCTAGTCGTAACTCGTACCAAAGTATATAATTACACATACATATATTATAATTTTCATTTTTATGAACTACGCAATAAGTATCTTTGGCAAATAAATTAAAAGATAACTTTTTAGAAAAGCCTTGCTCTTGGTTCGGCACTATGACGTGAATACTCCGTTTTGATTAGTGTACTTGTACACTCCTGAAATTATGTTTAGAGGAATTAGTGCTCTCCTGTTTAGTGTGCTTTGTACACTCCTGAAATATTTTTAGAGCACTAGTACTCTCCTGTTAAGGTCCAGATCTCTTCGGTGATCTCATCCTTTCTGTCGAGCTAGCTTCTGTTAGGGATTGGTACGTGTAGCTCCGGCGATTACGTTTCCATATTCCTCCTGGGTAAGGTGGATACGGACTTGACCGTATTCCTTACCATTAGTATTCCTCGGTCTAGGTCCAGATTCTTGAGTTCAAGGCTAAATGAATATGTTTTATTATGATAAGTTTCAGTATAAGAATTTTCTGATAATTATGATATCTGAATATGTTTCTATCTGTACAATAATAATAATAATAATAATAATAATAATAATAATAATAATAATAATAATAATAATAATAATTTCAGAATAAAAATATTTTGATAATTATGATATTTGAATATGTTTCTGTTATGTATATAAATATCTGTATTCTTACAGCAGCTGCTCGGATCACCCAGGTATGTTATATGCTTGTGTGACTAGATGCTAATTTGGACATTTTTATATGTGACCTGATATGTTAGTATTATTGTTATTGTTATTACTGTACCACTCAGCACATTGCTGAGCGGGTAGTTGTTTGTTTTTCCTACCCGTAGGTTAAGCACGGAATCCGCT